ATAAGCTAGGCACTTTATTATTATCCGTATTTGTTCAGTGGTGAGGTCACGGATGAAAAAGTCCCCCAAACATAATTTTAGTTCCAAACATAAAATACAAATGATGTCTTCTTTGGTTCCTTTCAGCTTTAACATTTGGTAGATCCCAGTTAGAAGTGAGTTCCCAAGCAGAGAAAGGGCTGAGACAAGAATATGATAGAAAAGCAGGTGAATAGTGAAACACTATAGTCGAAAACCAGAGAAGCTGAGAAAGTGATATAAAGAAGCCCATCTCAAATCAAAAGCAACCAGTAGGCTTTTCAGGGAGATGGATGAGAGCGATGCCTGCCTCAATCATCTCTGCGGTGAGCACCTTCCCTGCTGTCCAAAACCTGTGGCCAGCCCACCCCCAGTGGCTTTCTGGAGTCTCCAATCTCAGCCAGTTGCCCCCGCACACAGCCCACCAAGCCCCGACCCCGACCGTGTCATTCAACAGCAATTACTGGCTACATTCCATTTGCCCAGAATGCTTCTAAGTTGTTGGGATCCATGTATGAACAGAACAGAACAATTCCCTGTCCTTGTGGGGCTTACGTTCTAGAAGAGGGAGACAGACAATACACAATAAACATACTAAATAGGAAAATTGTATAGTATAGCAGAAGTTAAGGAGCACTATGGAAAAAGACCAAGGAGAGCTGGGGAAAGAGGATCAGGAGTGTGTGTGCGCGGGGTGGGGGACACTGAGAACATTTGAGCCAGGGTTTGCCAGGAGTGAGAGAGTTGGTTGTGTGGATATTGAGGGTAAAATTGCTCCAAGATTTAAGAGTCATAAAGCAAGAGGCTGGCTGGCTTGTTTGAGGAGTTGTGAGGAGCGGAGCAAATAGAAGCTGGGGTCAGAGAAGTAAATAGGATGGGGGTGGCAGATCATGGAGGTCCTTGTCAGTTATTGTGAGACTTTGGCTCTGGCTCTAGTGCCTTGGGAGAAAGGGCGGGGTTTTGAGCAGGAGTGGCATGATCTTACATTTTACTTTTTTTTTTTTTAAGATTTTATTTATTTGAGAGAGAGAGAGCACCAGAGAGAGCAGAGAGCACAAGCAGGGTGTGGGGCGAAGAGAGGGGCAGAGGGAGCGGGAGAAGCAGGCTCCCCGTGGAGCAAGGAACCCGATGAGGGACTCGATCCCAGGACCAGACGCTTAACCTGAGCTGCCCAGGCGCCCCTGTGCTCTCACATTTTAAAATAATCTCTTTGGCTGCTGTTGAGAACTGGGTGTACAGGAGTCAGGGCAGAAGCGGACCAGTTAGGAGGCTGAAAATGTTAGAGTCATCCTCGGTTCCTCCCCCTCCCCCAAACTGTTGGATCTACCTAAATACCCAGGTTCTGGGGGCTTCCGAACATGAGCCTTCAGCTGGGCTCTCTGCACTCTGGCTGCCAACAGACTGAGCTCCTCAACACCCAGAATCGCCTGGGACTGGAGACGCCCCCCATGATGTACGCAGAATCTGCCACTTCTTGTCACCTCCATTGCTCCTGCCTGGTCTCAGCGGTCCAAGGGCTGCAGCCTGAGCCCCGTGGAGGAAGGACGTGCCCTCCGCTGCGACGTGGAAGGCCCCGAGAGGAGCAGGTGTTAAGAAGAACACAAGGAGTTGCATTGTGGGAGCGCGGACTTGAGATATCTCTGAGCTGTCCAAGGGGAGCTGTCCACTAGGCAGTAAAACGCAGGAGTCTGGAGTCTGGGAGGAAGATGCGGAGATATAAACCTGAGGGTGATTAGCACTTTCATGGTGAGAAGAGAGAACAAGGAGTGGGGGAAGAGGAAGGACCAGCAGGGGACAGAGAAAGAGAAACCAGTGCAGAAGGCCAACAACCAGGACACTGAAGTGTTTAGGAGGCAAGGAGAGCGATGAGGTCAGGGAGGCCGGAGGGACAACGGCATCAGACGCTGCAGGTAGGTTAAGAAAGTTATGGAGGAGAATGGAGTGTTGACTTTGGTGGCATGGGGGCTGTTGGTGACCTTGTAGGAGTAGTCACAGCGGGAGGCCGGGGCAATGACTGCTTGCGGTGGGTTCGAGGTAATGGGGGCAGAGAGGAATTAGAAATAGGAAGTATGGGTTATTTGGGCAAAGCTCGGGAGTGGGCAGAGTGCACCTCTGCTGTGTGTTCTCCCTCCTGGCTAGGAAGAAGCCAATGTGAGGGCTGCGTAGTCAGGACCGTGTGCCCCGTGCGTCCAGCGGTGGTGGGGATGGGTCTCCGCCTGGCCAAGTGGCCGAAGACGCTGCACATTTGTGCTATTTCTCAAGCTCTCCACCCTCAGCTCGCTGGAGGGAAATGCAAACATGACCTTCCACTGGGGCCTGTCCCCTAAAGCTCTAGCCATGGGGATGAGACGTCTCTGGATAACCCAAAAGGCTTGATGTTGGGGGAAGGTGGTAGGAGAGGGTTTTAGTAATAGGATTCAACTCTGCCAGGAGGGAATGTAAATTACTTGTCCACCAGTCTCAGCCCAGACAAAAACAGATCATCTGCCAACCATTTTATACTTAGTTTCTTTTTTTTTTTAAAAAAGATTTTATTGACTTATTATTTTTTAAGATTTTATTTTTAAGTAGTCTCTGCACCCACTGTGGGGCTTGAACTCATGACCCCGAGATCAAGAGTCACACGCTCCTCTGACTGAGCCAGCCAGGTGCCTCTATACTTAATTTCTAAGTCCAGGTTGCTGAAAACCAGGGGCAGAGGTCACTTGTGCAAGGAATCGTTGGTTTTGCTAGTCATAGAACACCAGCTGGAAGTCATCTTGTGTGAAGACAGATGCTTCCTTTTTCCTTGTGCCTCCTTCCTTCTGATCTTCAGTCTCCAGACACTCAGATCCTAATGGGGCTTCAGCTGGGGTCTCTCCAGCTCCCTGGACCCGGGCTGCTGGCAGTTCCTCCACACCCGGAATGCCTGGAGACCCCACGTGAGGCAACAACAGAATGTCCCACAGCTGGATCTCTAGGAATAGGGATCTTAGAGCAGCAGGCTGTGGGGGGAGGGCAGCCCTAGGCCACAGGGAGAGAGGCCACAGGGACACTAATGCAAAGAGGATTAAAACGTACCTGGCCTGGGGGAGACTGATCACCTTGATGCTGCTTGTTAGTATAAAGAACAAAGGGAAATGAGGAGCACTTTTTTCTCCATATAGGAATAATGATTGTGTGTGATAATTTGTTACCATTGTTAGTTAATGACTCAACCCCCAGTAGTAGTCAGACTAGTGTTGATTCTGGCACATAACAGCTCATGTATGGTCACCGCTGGGTTGCTCATGTGGAACCTCATCAGTTTCGGCTTTAAAATATTAGCTGTAACATTACAGAGGACACCACAGAATGGGTTCCTTTTGAGAAGGGTGGCCTGCAGAATTTCTAGGTTGGGCCTGTGGACTCTCCCATCCCATGGGGAAACATGCCAGGACATTTCAGAATTTGGGGAAGGAGACTAACCTGCTGGAATGGGGGAGCAGGTAACTGACGTCCATCCTCCATCTCTAGGACTAGCTCCATCTTTTAATCGTGGTGACGGGGGCTTGGGTGGGGAAAGAGGCAGGGTGCCCCATGGAACCCCCACGTCTGCACCTGGGTCCCTCTGGAGCCCATCACTCTTCTGACCCCTTCCCCTTGTAGGGCCAGTGGCTCAGCTTATGGAGTGTGGACCTTGCCCCTTGTGGCCAGCTGCCCACGTGCTCCAAGAGGCAGAGGATGAGGGAAGCAGAGCTGACCATGGAACCCACTGCCATTAAACATTGGCTCGGTTTATTGGGAAAGAGCGGGTAGCATAAAGATGGGGAGGAGGGGCTCGAGCTGGGCTGAAAATTCTCTTTCTCTCTCTCTCTCTGTTCTCTTTTTCTGCCATGTTTTCAACTCTGAGCAGTAACTGTTCATATCAGCTACTGAGTTCTCTCTTCCTGAATTTTCCCTTCCTGCTCAATAAGTCTTGGATTGATTTATGGACTTATTAGGCTGAGCTGTTTATGATCTTTATTTCTTTTTTTTTTTTAAGATTTTATTTATTTATTTGACAGAGAGTGACACAGTGAGAGAGGGAACACAAGCAGGGGGAGTGGGAGAGGGAGAAGCAGGCCTCCCGCCGAGCAGGGAGCGCGATGCGGGGCTCCATCCCAGGATCCCGGGATCATGACCTGAGCCGAAGGCAGACGCTTAACGACTGAGCCACCCAGGCGCCCCTGATCTTTATTTCTTTGCCCTTGTGGTAATCGGGTGCTTTCCTCAGTGTGACTTATGGTTGTGTAGACTACAAGCCAGAGATCTGGAAGGTGAAGAACTGCAGAATGCTATTCCTATTAACTTTCATTTTAAACAGTTTTATGAAGATATAACTGATTTACGACAAAATGTACGTATTTAAAGTGTACAGTTTGATAAGTTTTGACGTGTGTACACCCATGAAACCATTGCCGCGATCAAGATAATGAACATATTCATGGCTCCCCCAAGTTTCCTCCTGTCCCTTTCTCCTACCTTTTACCTTTGCCACCCTGTCCCAGTGCAGCCACAGACCTGTTTTTTTTAATATGTCTTTCCAGTTTTATTGAGATAGTATTGACCTAACATATGCTAAGTTGAAGGCGTACAACATGAGGATATGATACACATGTCTATTGTGAAATGATTACTGCAATAAGGTTATTGGACGCTTCCATTCCCTCACATAATTAGCTTTTCTTGGAGATAACACTTAAGATCTATTCTCTTACCCACTTTCCAGTCTATAATACGGTATTGTTCACTATAGGCACCATGCTGTGTACTTTAGATTGCCAGACCTTATTCATTTTATAGCTTCAAGTTTATCTCCTCATTTCCCCCATCCCTGAGCCTCTGGCAATCACCATTGTATCCTTTAATTCCACAAATTTGGCTTTTTAAAAAAATTTTTTTTAAGTTTTTTGTTTGTTTGTTTTAGTAATCTCCTCACCCAGCGTGGGGCTTGAACTCACAACTCTGAGATCATGACTCACATGCTCTTCCGACTGAGCCAGCCAGGCACCCCCAAATTTGGCTTTTTGAGGTCTGCATATAAAGGAGAACATATAAGGTTTGCTGAGGTATTGAGCTCATGGTGGACGAGGCCTCTGGTGCTCTGGGCTATGGTTACTGGTCTGGGGCTGGGACATGAGCAAAGGGACCCTGGATGACAACAAAGCTGGGCCGTCAGGTCCAGAAGGGACCTGACATCACTACTCTACTCCTCACTTTGCTAATGAGAAACATAAAGGAGAAAGGACACTTGCTTAGGGCCCCCAGGAAGTTAGAGGCCAAAGCCAGAGGAGAACCAAGGTCTCCTGCCATCCAGGCCAGCAGGTGGGGAATGCTGCAGCCCTTGAACATACTATGTTTCTTATTCTGTCTCTGAAAATGTAATGTCCTCAAGGGCCGTCCATGTTATCTCAAAAGGCAGGATTTCCTTCTTTTCATGTCTTGATATTTAAAGTGCATTTCTTTTAAGCAACACGTAGCTGAGTCTTGCTAGTTTTTGTTTTGAAGCCACTCTCACAATCTCTGCCTTTTATTTGGGATAATTAGACTATTTACATTTAAAGTAATTATCTAGTTAAGTTTAAATCACTTATCTTACGATTTGTTTTCTACTTGTCCTATCAGTTTTTTGTTCCCCTTTTCCTATCTTTCTGCTTTCTTTTGAATTAATTGGATATTTTTTATTATTTCATTGTTGGCTTTCTTCCTTCGACGGCTTATTAGCCACAAGTCTTTGTTACATTAGTTGAATGATTGTTTTATTTTATTTTTTTAAAGATTTTACTTATTATTTACTTATTTGTCAGAGAGAGAGTCGGCGCGCACACGAGCGAGCTCAAAGAGGGGGAGGGGCAGACACAGAGGGAGAAGCAGGCTCCCTTGCTGAGCCAGGAGACTGATGTGGGACTCGATCCCAGGACCCTGGGATCAGGACCTGAGCCGAAGGCAGACACTTAACCAACTAAGCCACCCACGCGTCCCTGAATGATTGTTTTAGGTTTTGTAGCATGCATCTTTAATTTTTCACAGTTCACCTTCATGTGATATTATATCACTTTACATATAAGATAAATGTATTATTGTAAGGACAATAATACATTTCCATCTCTTCCCTCTTGACTTCTGTGCTCTTATTGTTACACATTTTACTTTTCATATGTTATAAACTCCACCTCATATTGTGTAACCAGTCAGTTATCTTTCAAAGAGATATGGGTGATAAGAAAAAATTCTTAGATGTTTACCTATGTATGTAGTTACCATTTCTAACATTCTTTGTTCCTTTGTGTAGAATCATATTTCTCTCTGGCATCATCATTCCCCTCTGCCTGAAGGTCTTTCTTTAACCTTTATTATAGTGCAGATCTTCTAGTGATGGATTCTTTCAGGTTTTGCTTGTCTTAAGAAGCATTACTTCACTTTAATTTTTGAACAGTATTTTTATTGGGAGTCTAGCTAATAGTTTCTTTTTTCCTTCAGTACTTTAACTAATGTGCTCTTTTACTGATGTCTTCTCATTTGCATTGTTTCCAATGAGAAATTTGATGTCATCCTATCTTTGTTCCTCTGTAGGTATGTGTCTTTTTTTCTCTGATTAATTTTATTTTCATTTTTTTAAAGATTTTATTTATTTATTTGTCAGAGAGAAAGAGCACAAGCAGGGGGAATGGCAGGCAGAGGGAGAAGCATTCCCCACTGAGCAAGGACCCTGGGATCATGACCTGAGCTGAAGGCAGATGCTTAACGGACTGAGCCACCCAGGTGTCCCTCTCTGGTTGCTTTTAAGATTTCCTCTTAAAAACTCTTAATCACTGATTTAAATAATTTGATTATGATGTGCCTTGTTATAGTGTTTTTTATGTTTCTTATCTTGGGGCTCATAGAGCTTCTTGGATATGTGGATTTATAGTTTTCATCAAATTTGGAAAAATTTCACCCATTATTGTTTCAAATTTTTTTCTGACCCGCCCCCATCTTTTATCTCCTTCAGGGACTCCACTTGCTAGTATATTAGACTTTTTGAAATTGTCCCATAGCTCACTGACACCTTTTTTTTTTTAAACCTCTTTTCTCTATTTTGGATAGTTTCTACTCTGTGGTTCAAGTTCACTAATCTTTTCTTCTGCTGTTAATCTGCCACTAATCCCATTCAATGTATTTTTCATCTCACACATTATGGTTTTCATCTCTAATTTTTTTTGAAGATTTTATTTATTTATTTGACAGAGAAAGACACAGTGAGAGAGGGAACACAAGCAGGGGAAGTGGGCGAGGAAGAAGCAGGCTTCCCATGGAGCAGGGAGCCTGATGCGATGCCGGGTTCGATCCCAGGACCTGGGATCGTGACCTGAGCTGAAGCAGACGCCCAACGACTGAGCCACCCTGGCGCCCCTCTAATTTTTTTTTTTTTTAAGTAGGCTCCACGCCCAGTGTGGGGCTTCAACTCACAACCCTGAGATTGAGAGTCGCATGCTCTACCAGCTGAGCCAGCCAGGTGCCCCTGTGGTTTTCATCTCTAGACATTTGACTTGGGTGTTTCCCGTATCTTTCACGTCTCTGTCTAACATTTTGAATATATAGAACACAATTATAATAATCACTTTTGTGTCCATATCTGCTTATTCTAACAGTGTAAGCTATGGGTTGGGTTCAGTCAATTGATTTACCTACTCATTATGAGTAATATTTTTCTGTTTCTTTGTTTTCCTGGTAATTTGAAAAAAAGATTTTATTTATTTATGTATTTATTTGAGAGAGTGAGAGAGAGAGAGTAGGGGGAGGAGGAGAGGGAGAGGGATAAGCAGACTCTGTGCTGAGTGTGGAGTCCAACATGGGGCTCAATCCCATGACCCTGAGATCATGACCTGAGCCAAAATCAAGAGTTAGATGTTCAACTGACTGAGCCACCAGGTGCCCCTTTCCTGGTAATTTTTGATTGGACACCAGACCTGGTGATTTTTGCTTTATTGATTGCTGAGTATTTTTATATTTCTATAAATATTCTTGAGCTTTGTTTGGAACCAGTGAAGTTATTTGATACTTTTGGGTTTTGCTTCTAAGATTTCTTTTTTTTTTAAAGATTTTTAAAAATTTATTTATTTGACAGAGAGAGACAGCAAGAGAGGGAACCCAAGCAAGGGGAGTGGCAGGCAGAGGGAAAAGCAGGCTTCCCGCTGAGCAGGGTGCCCGATGTGGGGCTTGATCCCAGGACCCTGGGATCATGACCTGAGCCGAAGGCAGACGCTTAACGACTGAGCCACCCAGGTGCCCCTTGCTTCTAAGATTTCTTAGAACCAGAGTTGTGCTGAATCTAGGGCTAATTGTTCCTTATTTCTGAGGAAATGCCTTCTCTTTCCAATGCCCTGTGAATTCTGGGACTATCCAGTCTGACTGGCGGGAGCAAGCACTTATCCCAGCCCTGTGTGAGCACCATTATTCTCCATCTTTTTGAACGGTTCTTTCCCTTACCTTGGGTCGTTTCCTCATACATATGTGCTTATTTTTTATTGGACCAGCACTCAGTTGAAAGCTAGAAGTGGACTCCCTGCAGATATTCGTACCTCCCTCTGTGTGCTGTTTTCTTTTCTCTGGTACTCTGTGAACTCCTCTGTCTACCTTAGCAACAGATAGAGGTCCACAGTGGATAAAATACCAGCATTTCTGGCATCAGTACGCTTGTCTCAGCAGAAAGCTGAGCAGAAAGGATTGTGAAAACTGAAGCAGAAAGGATTACTAAAGGGAAATCTGATTTTAGTCTGCTGAAAGTCTCTAGCATTAAAAACAGTCATTTCCTTGAAAAGAATTATAGTCTGTGGGCTATGTTAATGTTCCTGGATGTCTGTTATTCAATGAGCTCCTTGCTGTTGCCAAGTTATGTGTAATTGAGGTAATAATTGATGTTTGATGGGGAGCAAACTTTCGTAGGTATAGATTGAAACTTTCAGAGTGAAAGAAAGGGCTGGTTAGGTAACTTGGTGACTCTTGATCTCTGCTATGGTTCCAGACATCTGCAGAGAAGTCCCCCGCAGTTTTACATGACCCGCACCCCTGGGGATTCTGACTGGCAGGGTGGAGTGGTAATGGGAGATGAATGTGGACCACGAGGAGGCTAGTGCCAGGTAACGGAAACCCTGTTTCCCACCCACAGGTGCCTTTTTCATCCCCTACCTCATCTTCCTCTTTACCTGCGGCATTCCTGTCTTCCTCTTGGAGACAGCGCTGGGCCAGTACACCAGCCAGGGAGGCGTCACAGCCTGGAGGAAGATTTGCCCCATCTTTGAGGGTGAGTAGCCTTGTGCCTGCTTCCAGGATATCTGCATACATGTTAACCTTATTTGGGATGACTGGGTGGTTTAGTAGCAGTGCTGATTGACATAGGACTCTGTCTTCATGTTAAGCCCTCCACTTGTGGGCCCAGTGCTGCACTAATCACCCGATCTATCAGAGAATGGAGAAGTTAGAGCTGAGGATGGGAAAAAAGCTTTAGATTCAATAAGTAGAGTGCAAAGCTATTTTAGCTCTGTATTTTACGAATGTATAACAATGACTTTGTAGTTTTCAAAACATTTAATTAATTGCAAGACATTTAAAAAGAGAATTTTAAATGACAAGAAATATCAGTAATAATTCTGTCTTGACACAATAGCTATTTAAATTTTAGGGTGTTTTATTTCAATATTTCTCTCTCTATAGGCTTTTCTTTAAGTTTCTCTTTTAAAATAATTATATATTCCTAGAAAATTGTAAAACTAGTAGAGGGGTCACATGTACACTTCACCCAGTTTTCCCCAATGGTAGCATCTTACTTAACTATAAAAAAAATCATAACCTGGAAATTGATATTGGTACTATCCACAGATCTTATTCAGATTTCTCCAGTTTTCCATGCACTTATTTGTGTGTGTGTGTGTGTGTATAATTCTGTTATTTTATTTTTTTTTACAAGAGAACAAATCTACACCTTTATTTACTTTTCATTAAATTTAAATCCTTGAGGGGTACAGCATCACACAGATTCTGCGGCCAATGGCTTTAGCAGGAAGGTTGCTTCGGAATTGGGCATGAACCATGCCACTGTTTCCATGAGCACGAGTTACTTTTCCCCAGATTACTCTGGTTCTGTTTGGTTTGCCACCAGGAGTCACTGTGTTGTTCTTCGCTTTGTACACATAAGCACGTCTCTTGCCTAGATAGAATTCCGTTTCATCTCGAGCATAAACACCTTCGATTTTAAGAAGAGCTGTGTGCTCCCTCTGGTTTCGGAGACCCCGCTTATAGCCAGCAAAAATGGCCTCGGACCACAGCCTCCCAGACATTATTTGGCGTTATAGGAGTCCTGTTCCCAGCAGGCCTCCACAGGCTCCAAGATGGCGGCGAAAAAAAGATAATTCTGTTATTTTATCATGTGAAGATATATATAACCATCACCACAATCAGCGTACGGACTGCCCCACTATCACAAAGGTCTTGGTCACGCTACTCCTTTATAGTCACACCTGCCCCTCCCTGCTCCATCCCTAGCCCCTGGCAACCACTAATTTGTTCACTATCTCTATAATTCTGTCATTTTGAGAATGTCATATAAATGGAACTGTATAGTCTGCAACCTTTCGAGATTAACTTTTTTAGTCAGCACAATGCCCTTGAGATCCATCCAGGCTCTTGTATAAAGAGTTCATTCTTCTTTATTGCTGAGTAGTAGTCCATGGTATGGACATCCCACAGTTCATTTAACTATCACCGGCGAAAAACATTTGTGTTGTTTCCAGTTTTGGGGATTCATTTCATTCATTTTTTTTTCTCTGTATAGAGCTTACATATATATAAATCTGGGATATGCACAGTTTATGTCCCCACTTTCCAGTTAGTGTTATTTTCCATTTTCTTTCTTTCTTTCTTTTTCTTTCTTTCTTTCTTTCTTTCTTTCTTTCTTTCTTTCTTTCTTTCTTTCTTTCTTTCTTTCTCTCTCTCTTTCTTTCTTTTCTTTCTTTCTCCTTTCTTCTTTCTTCTTTCTCTCTCTCTCCCATTCTTTCTATTTTTTAGAGACAGAGGGTGGGGAGGGGCAGAGGTAGGGGAGAGAGAGAATCTTAAACAAGCTCCATGCCCAGTGTAGATCCTGACAACTCGGGGCTCCATCTCATGACCCTGAGATCATGACCTGAACCGAAATCAAGAGTCGGGCTGCTTAACCGACTGAGCTACCCAAGCACCCTTATTTTCCATTTTCTACACAACAATAATTTAACGATTGCGTAAACTTCAATTGAATGCATATATCACAATTTATTTAACAGTTCTCTGTTTTGGGCTTTTTGCTTATTTTCTTTTTTTTTTTTAAAGATTTTATTTATTTATTTATTTGAGAGGGAGAGAGAATGAGAGATAGAGAGAACGAGAGGGAAGAGGGTCAGAGGGTGAAGCAGGCTCCCCGCTGAGCGGGGAGCCCGATGTGGGACTCGATCCCGGGCAGGATCATGACCTGAGCCGAAGGCAGTCACTTAACCAACTGAGCCACCCAGGCGCCCTCGCTTATTTTCAATTACTTATAAAATTGTTATATTCTGCTTTCATGTGTAATTGTTGAGATAGCTTTGCCCTTCTTTTTTGGGAATTATTTCTTTGGGATAAATTTCTAGGTTTAGGATCGCTGGAGCAAATGGACAGTCAAGTTGATGTCTCTTGATCTGGCTTATTAAGTTGTCCTATGCAAGTATTATACTGACTTGCCATGTCATTATATTTGAGTAAGCATCTTTCCCCCATATCTTTCACAACTCTGCGTATTTGGGGTTCCCAACTTGTCTGCACAATGGAGTCGCCTGGGGACCTTCAAAATATCCTGAGGCCTGTGCCCAACCCCCAGAGATTGTGACTTAATTGGTCTCAGGTCTGGTCTGGGCTTTGAAATTTTAAATATTCCCAGGTAATTCTAATATGTGGACAAATTTAGAAACACTGAGTTACATCATTTGTAAAAAATTTCACTATGGCTGTCTATGCAGAATGGTACCTCACCATTGTTTCCTTTTGCACACCTACAATTATTAAGGAGGATCTAGTTGTATTTTCTCCTATGTGAATTGTCTATCCCTGCTCTCTCTCTCTCTTTTTTTTTTTTTCAAGTAGGCTCTATGCCCAATGTGGGGCTTGAGCTCACAATCCTGAGATCAAGAGTTGCATGCTCTATGGACTGAGCCAGCCAGGCGCCCCTGTTCCTGCTCTTAACATGTATTTTTGAAATATAAAAATTCCAGAGAACATTAACTATTGGAATCTTAATTCCAGAGAACAGTAACTATTGGAATCTTTGAGTTAGTCTTATACATTTAAAAAATAACTTTAAATCGGTGAATTTTCAGAACTGATAAAGATGGAAAGACACAGGAAGCCAGGGTAGAGTGCAATTGGAAGGCAGGGAGAAAAGCCCCTTCTCACCTGCCAGGGAAGGAGATGAGAGAGCCGGGAACCTGGGCCCAGCACTGTCTTAGGGCTCTGACAGTGGAGAACAAACCCCCTCCTAAACTGGGATGGGTGGCGTATGAGAACTCTGTCCACTGTCCCTAGCCCAATTCTGCAGTTTTCCCTTGCAGGCATCGGCTATGCCTCCCAGATGATTGTCGTCCTCCTGAACATCTACTACATCATTGTCCTGGCCTGGGCCCTCTTCTACCTCTTTAGCAGCTTCACCGTCGACCTACCCTGGGGAAGCTGCCACCATGAGTGGAATACAGGTAAGGTCATCCCTGGAGAGTCCATTTCCCCCGGCTGCTCTGCCACATTAACCAGGACTGGGATTAGCCACATACCCGGGCACCCCATCCCCAACCTTAACTTGGGACATACTAGAAACCCACCAAGTAGGTCACAGACAACTTGTATCAAAGATCAATGTGAGAATTCACCAGCATCACGGACGAGATGTCACAGACTTAAAAAAAAACTGTCAAATGTACTCAAAGTAAAAAAAATTCAGTATTCAGTTCATAGATTGTGAATTCACATATTTTGCAAACAGACCTGCTTTCTTTTTATGTAGGTTAGCCATTTATTTATTTCAGTTTGAAGTCTGATCGCGTTGGTGTATGTATGTATTGTTTGTCCATGATCTTTGTTCCTCATGTCTTTTTTTTTTTAAATAAACTATTTTTTATTATGTTATGTTAATCACCATACATTACATCATTAGTTTTTGATGTAGTGTTCCATGATTAATTATTTGTATATAACACCCAGTGCTCCATTCAGTACGTGCCCTCTTTAATACCCATCACCAGGCTAACCCATCCCCCCACCCCCCTCCCCTCTAGAACCCTCAGTTTGTTTTTCAGA